GGGCCGGCGGGAGTCGGGGACGCCCTGAGCCAGAGCGCGAGACCCCCTCCCATCGAGGTCACGGCGAGCCGGGGGTCTCCTCTCTCCCACCTTGCCCAGGGCGGGCGGCGCAGTGCAGCGCGCGAGTCGCGGAAGCTCCCTCCCAGGCCCCCTCCCCAAATCATTCTTTGCGAACGCTTAGGAGGCCCGGGCGGAGGGGGCTTCGCGCCATTCCCTCCCCTCCCCCCTCTCTGTTGTCCCCTCTCCGCCCGATGTTGCTTCTCAGAGCCTCGCTTGTCGCGCAGAGCTGGTTGCGGCCGCAGAGCGGCCTGGCTGAGCGCGGGGCGGGCGGGAGCCTGTGCGGTTCTGGGGCCCTGCCCGGCGTGCAGGGCGCAGAGTGGTGGCGGGAGGCAGACTCGGCGTGACCACCCTCCACCCAGGCGAGACGCAGCGTGCCGTGTCCCCCTCCCGGGAGCTGTCCCCCTCCCTAGAGCTGTATGTCTTCCGCGTTGAGTTGGAAGCCCTTCGAGGGGGGATACGAGTTCAATAAATGAGATATGTGAACAAGAGGTGGGTCGCGAGCATCTGGGGGGAACAGTGGGTCCTCGACTGGGCCGGGAGTTATTTGGTCAATCGGCCTTTTAAGGGAGGCGGAGCCTCTGTGCTGCCCCAGGTGCCAGAAAGGGGAAAGGCCACTGGAGAGGTGGGAGGTGGAAGAGGCACTAGTCAGGGGCTGGGACAGGTGGCTGGGTCCATGGGGAGCCTGAGCCTCCTTTGGGGGCTGTGGGGAAGGCACTCCCTAACCCTTGTCACACCATCTGTGAGGACTGTCCTGGGGCGAGAAGAGGATGTGTGCGGAGGAGAACTAGGGAAAGAGGCCACGCAGCCAGCAGCCTTCCCCTGGGGTGCCACCGAGGTAGTGGCCCTCTGGCCCAAGTCTCCCTTCCAGCTGAACGTTTGCAGCAGGACTGAGCTCCAGGCACCTACTTTCACCCATACAAGAAGCCACCAGATGTTCTGCAGACCCTAGCTCCAGGCTCACAGGGAGGCTGGCCTGGAGAGAACGCTGGCTGGCAAGGGTGCAGAGGCTCCCCTGCTGTCCTCCCTCCACAGTGTGGCTGGTAGCCTTGTGGATGTGGCTGGGGTCCTGAATTCCAGAGACAGCCTGGGTTTCCCTGGAGGCTTGTCTGAGGCCCAGTGGGATCCCTGTGCCTGGCTTGGGCATTTCTCTCAACTGTTCCAGAATGATCTATCCCAGCCCTCATGCTCCTACCAGAGCTCCTTCCATCCCAGGTAGGGTTTGGGGCTGGGGGCAAGAAGGACCTTGAAGAGAGTGTTTGGGAAGGTGCTGGTTCTGAGCTTGACCCATCTCAGAGCAGAGCATAAGCCCTGCCAGGTCCCTCACTCATGCACAGCTGTTGGTTGTAAAGAACACCTTCTCATTTTCCTTATCAAGAAGGTGAGGGACAGAGCGCTATGGCATGGGGGATAGGGACTGCCCAAGGTGAAGGGAAAGGCCAGCAGACCCTCCAGCCCCCCAGACTCAGTCCTTCCATACCTCCATATTGCATTTGTGGCTGTCAGGCCTGGGAAGGGCCCACCAGACTGTGTCAGTTGCTCCAGGAGCCCAGCCAGGTGCCCCATCACCCTGGCCTCCTGTTCATCTTCCTTCAAGTTCAGGCCCTCCTGCTTTCTCTTCTCTTCTGCTTCTCCTGGAATGTTCCAGTGTCCTATTCCAACTCTCCCAAACAGCACAGTGTTTCTGCTTCTCTTCCATCTTCCTTCTGTTGGTCCTTACAGGGTGGCAGCTCTGCCTACCCACACGCACCCATGTGGTCTCCTCTGTCAGCTGCAGGGCCTGGCCTGAGGTCAGTCTCCCATCTGAAACTGTGGGTACTCAGGCCTCAGGGCTGTCCCCGGGGTGGGACCCGTTCCCCTGCATCCTCTGCATGGGGCCAAACCCCAGCCCTCCCTGGGATGCTTGGCCCCCTCTGTTGAGGACCTAAAGGTAAGGGAGAAGGAAGGCTCTGTCCAGAGCGATCCCCGTCCCCTCTTGGCTGAGGGCACTCCCAGCTGCAGCTGCCCTATCCCCAGCTGGTGCCCAGGCCATCCAGTGGGGTTTCTGCTTGTTTCCCTGCCCATACCTGCTAGGATATAGGCCAAAAGACGGGGGGGGGGGGGGGGG